AAGAGAGCGGCTTTTGTTTTGCTTRCGTTTTGCTTTGTTTTAGACCAGTGCTGTCAATGTGAACCTCTAGTCAGAGCTAAGGAAGAGACATTGCTCTTTGCCACCATTCACTTTCAAGGACACTTGAAACACATGCACACATGAATTTTTTTGCTATTTTTAATCAAGCTCAGAAGTAGAAAATAAGAAAAATAAAAAACAAAAACAAAGACATGGCACGACCTCATAATTTCAGACTTTTACTTTGCTTGAACAGAGGGCAGTTGCAAGTTACCTTTTCTTTTTTTTTAAACAGTTGCTACCACATTTGCTTCTGTAGTGCCAGGTGAAGGCACTGAAGCAACCTTATCTCCCTTACATTATTAAAAAAAATGTACAGACAAGAAGGATTTAAATAGCCTTGAAATGACGCTYATAACTTTCTCGGCCCTGAACTGATTCCCTATTTCTTAATCTCTCATCTGTATCTGTACCACTGCCTTTGTTAATAGAGCAAAGCACGGCACTTGTTCTTCTTTGGYTGTCCCAAAAGCCCTTCCTGTCCTACAGACACCACTGACGGCAGTCATGGCTCTGTTTCAGGATTTCCCTGAAAGACTATATTTCAGGTCCTGATACTCTTCTACAGCTCTCTTTAATGTGTGTGTGCATATACATATATAAATAAATCATAATATATAAGACAAATATATACATAAAAAAATCACATATACATAAATATATATTTATATATATAAATCACACAGATGCTTTAGCCCAAATCTAACCTCTTCCAATGGAGTACACAGAGAGCCTAAGTGCTTTATCTGGYGATTACCTCCCCCACTGCAGTATGTGGCAGGAGGGACTGGAGCCGAGTGCTTTATCTGATTACCCAAGTCCATTTCATTTCTATTCTCAGAAGCCTCCAAATACCCTTAACACAAATATCACCCGGTAAAGCAAGGGATATCAGAAGGGAAGTTACAGCTCATCTTGTCGCTAATGTTCAAACCTATTTCCCCAAAAGCCTAAGCCTGCAAACTAGACAACAGCTTCAAAGGTTCTCGTGCACAATTTTTGAGCAGGGGAGGGGGAAGAGGAAAAAAGGAGGAAGGTGGGGGGGGGGAAGAGCCATGTTTGTTTATTTTTCACTACCAGAAGCGGAGATCTAGGAGTCAGCAAAAAGAGGTAACATTGAGCCTCAGAGCCAATAAAATACACCTAAACTGCCTTGGTACGTGCTTGAGAACATGCTCAGCGCTGCATTCGTCATAGTAAGCAGCCAGAACACAGACATTACCAGCAGCCCAGTTTCATACAGAAAGCACAGCAGCTGGAACAGCAATTCCCAAGTGTAGACCTTCCAGGTGAAATGAGGCTTCCATATATGTTTGAGAGTTGTCAACATTATTAGCATTGTAGGAAACTTCCTTACACAGTCCCTCTGAGCTTACTCCTCCCACCATCTTTATAAACTCTACTTTGACCACCGTGAAAAGCTCATCTTTTCTACTACAAAARCTACATTGAGACAAGCTGAGCACAACACGCAGCACGGCAGTGAAACACTGRCACAGATGTGCTAAGGAAAATACAGTTGTGCATGACAAGAGAACCTGGCTACTCTCTGCTTGGCAAATCTAAGTAAAGATTGGACTAAATTGCTATAAACCTTATAAAATCAGAGTGAGATCCTAAGCAAACGATAGATAAGCACAAGAAACTCCACAGACTACCTTGATTCAGGGAATAATTCTATACAATCTCTCTATTGCACACTTTGCAATGCTAAGGAGAACCACAGCCTGGGAAGGGTTTACAATTTATGCTGAAGCTGCCGGGAAAGAAATAGGAAAGGGTGAAGGGGAAGAATGATGGGGACTAAGTGAGGAAAATACGAAAGAATCAGCAAGGCAAAGGGAAGTGGAAGAATGTTTCACCAGCTAAGGAGATACTGACTTAGCAACAGTGACACTCTTATTTCTAGAACATGGTACACACAAACACACACAAAAGGCTTCTGAAAAGAAAACCTTATGCTATTGAGGAAAAAAATAGCTAATGGGTAACAGAGTTATATTTGAAAACAACCTTGGTATATTATTTTCATAGCTGCATGTAGCCAAAACCACAGACAAACAGCAACTATCCTTTATAAATGAAGTCCAAATGTAAGAAACCTCCTGAGGAACCAGGGATACTGTTACAAGAGGCAACTTAAAGTTTGCTGAGAGATTTCCCAAACAGATGCAATTGACAGGCCTAAAAAGAGCAGATTTTATCCCAATGATGAAGGAGATAAAAGATACTTCTGCAGCCATTATCTTCAACCTTACCTCAATCCCATGGCCTTCTCCTTAAGGAAGGCAGTGTCCTCCCCAACTCTCATTCACACCCAGAAGTGCCTGTAGTCCTTACTGATACCAAGCTCAACAATGTAAAAGCAAGGAAAACTCCACAAATATCCCCCTTTCCTCCTTGCCCCCACCCTGGTCAGGTTGGCATTTCAAGCCTTTCAGGGGCAGGGGGAGAGCAGGATTGCTGGATTGCTTCCAGCTGCCTCCATTCTTGGATTGGGCTTACAGTGAACACCAGTGAAAGCCCAGGAGATGGGTAGGAACATGTGTTTGGTGTTAGGTCTGCTCAAAACAGAGGTTTGGAGGCCCCACCAGGCCTACAAAAAGCCAGAGCCTGATCAGACCTTATTTCTACTCCAAGACTGATGGTTTAAACCCCAACATGTATCCTTTCACACACAGGTCTCTCTCAGAGTTGTCCCCTCCTGTAACTGATGGGCAAGTGTCCACAGGAGGCTTGGGACGAAGCCCTTACAGGTCCCACGAGCAACAAGGGAGGCTCAGCCTGGGGAGGCCACCAAGTCACCTGCCCTTACGGGTACACGAGGAAGGAGCACTAATGGTTAACAGCTGGATGCACAAACCTCGCCAAAATAAAGTGCCTGGAACTGGCTTTGGTCATGGCTCTCAGTTTGTTTTCAGCACTAAGAACAATTTCTGAAGAACCTAGGAGACCCAGAAGCTGCACAGGAGTTTTCAAATATTTTTATTTTTGAATTAGAGATATATCTTTAATATGGAAAAGAGACCCACAGGTATATAAATACCTAAAAACAATATTATCACAATAATCTTATGTAAAGAGAAACAAAGTAGCAAAAGACCAGGCATTTGTGCAGGTCTTTGTGCTGGTCCCTCTCTTCCACTTTGCAAGCAAGTCATTCTGCTTTCCGAGCCATGGCCTAACTCTTACAATTAGTTTCCAAGAGCACAGTTTATCATCTGACATATCAAAACACAGACCATAGTTCAATGAAGCAGCACCCAAACAATATCCAAGATATGCAGATAGCAAGATAAAAAGCACATCAAAACATAACCCAAAGGCAAAAAAAAAGTCTTCATTGTTGTTATGAAACCTTAGCATCACTGCATCTTTATCCCCTTCCTTTTCCAGGCTGGGGAGACTGGAATTCAAGTGTATCCAGTCAACTTGTTAGTTTGATGTCCAGAAAGCCGCTCCCCATATTACAGTTCAGTAAAATTATCAACTATTGATCAGGTAATTTTTTGCAACAAAACCTTAACATTTGCCGTTTTACAAAATACATACCAAACATGTAAAAAGGGATACTTTCAGACAGCGTGTAGCTTTTTAACCAAGCATGGTCTCTAGTTTAAAAAAAAGCCACAGACTGAGGTCAAAGCTATTGCAGCAAGCCCTTTTTCGCCTCTCTTTTCAGAGCACCATTCATGAACTGTTCACAAAGCAAATCTTTCCATCATATTTTTAAATAGCCTTTGCAACAGTTTTACCGTCTTCAAAAAATAAAGATCAGCAGAACACAGTGATTAGATTCTTGTCCCAAATTGGAACGAGACGTGTGTTTTAACCCTCTAAATACGTAACCTGATCATGTCCTCAACAAGGAGTGACAGGAAGTGTAGCCAGCAGAAACCTTTATTCTCCCATTACATTATTTTAATCCTCTCATACCAGGAGCTGGATTTTCCTCAAGTAACATCCACCACCTACAGTGGAGACACTGAAGCCACTGGCATCAACTAGTTTAAAAGAGAGGGATACAAAATTCCACCCAACTTTGGGTGTTATCTTAATACCTGCTTGGAGTCATTGTAATATAATTTGGTTTCCTCTTCAAATGTTTCTTTAGAGTTCCYACAGAAAGTTAAGCCTTGATGCTAGTTATTATGAACTTCCCAGTGGAAAACACACAGAGCCCRACTGCCACATAACTCCTGCAGCCCCTGCTGCCATTTCCAGGGTTCCGATCTCTCGAGCCCAGTTCGGAGAGAGGAAGATGGGAATGCTGCGGGGCAAAACGCCACGGCCTTCGTCTGGCTTSGCACCAAGTCGTGCTCATGGCAGCCCTGCTGGAAGCTCCCGCCAGGGCTCGCAGCCCCTTCCCGGCCTGGGAGCGGCACGTGCGGCTCTGGCACCCGCGTCCAACGGCCAGAGCCGAACACTGCGGCGCAAGCAGCCAACACGGAGGTGCCGTCAGCGAGGTTAGCAAGCGAGCCCCGCCACGGGCGGCCGCGGCGCCACGTCCCCCTGCTCGGTATTTACAACCTGAGGTTTCAACAGCCGAGGCTTAAAGGGCTTTTTTCCCCCACCTCTCCGGGACTCCGAACGGATCCCGTGTCCACACGAGCTGTGCGGCTTGACCCGCGCCAGAGGCGGGCGGAGGCGGCACGTACCGGGCAGGCACCAGCCTAAGGAGCTACCGGACCCGGCGGAAAGAAGGGAAAGGGACACGCGGGGCTGGCGGCGCCGCCCGGCCGCCTCAATGACAGCGCGGGCTCGGTGACCCGCGCGGGCGGAGCGGAGCGCGGCGCAGGCCCCGCGGCGGCGGCTCACCCAGCTTCCCGCGGGACTCCTCCAGCTTCTGGATCTGGTTCTCCAGGAAGAGCACGGCCACGCCGAAGGCCAGCACGGCCAGCAGCTGCAACTTGGGCGGCAGCATAATCCTGAGCAGCCCCATGAGCAGCCGCAGCCGCAGCGCCCGCCCGCCCGCGATCACGACATAACGCGGGGCCGGGCCGCGGGGGCCGGCGGGAGC